AGATTTATAGTTGTAAGTACATGAAATACAGAATTTATACTTGTATTATTATTTATTAATTATTATATTATAGTGGGTTGGTTTCACTCAACTATAAACCTATTTTTGCCCCACCCTGTATTTGAAAATTCAACCACATAATTATAAAGTTTGACCTAGCCATTCCACTCCTCGGTATAAACCCCAGAGAAACAATAATATATGTTCACACAAAAACTTATACACAGTTCCAGGTCTACATGCAAGAAGCATGGAAGTCACCACTCTGTCCTAACAACTAACAAACTGAACAGACTAAAAAATGAACAACTCTTCTTGAAAGAAACAGGGCAAACTTGATGAGATTGTGAATTCAACTGTCATTTTAACTCATCAACCCATACATTTAAATTTTGTATTTTATTCCCAGAAATATCAGCTCTATTGTTAAAAAAAAAAAAAAAAAAAAAAAATGAGAGGGTACTTTATGGCTTTGATGGGAGTTTTTAAATTCTCAGACCATGACTTGAGCTGAGAGTTGAGACCTGAGTTTGCCATTTCTCTTCATAAGTGCTTAAGGGCATTAAAAAGATTCCATCCAAGACCACAGTCTTATAGTCATCATTACTACTGAAGTGCAGCAGCCACTTGGGCTTTTAGGGTATATGCTTCAATCGACACTTCATCCTAATCAAATATGGTAATAGCTTGATGAATTATAATGCCACTGCATGCCAAGAATTACTATCTATTTCCCATTGGCAAAGAGCTCAGCACTTCACTCAAGATTAAAGGCATAATAAAACTAATCCCCAAATCCCATTTCTATAGGTATATATTTTAGGACTACTCCTGATACCAGTTCCATAATAGTCTGAATCCAATCAGGAGAGAGATACTACACAGTAATTTGAACAAGGAGTTTGATGTGAAGAATTATTAACACCCGGCCAGTGCAGCTCAGTGGTTGAGCATTGACGCATGCACCAAGTAGTTGTTGGCTCAATTCCTGGTCAGGGCACATGCCCAGGTTGTGGTCCAAATCCCCAGTGGGGGACATGCAGGAAGTGGCCAATCAATGTTCTCTCTCATCAATGTTTCTATCTTTTTCTCCCTCTCTAAAATCCTTCCTCTCTCTCTAAAATCAATAAAGAAAAAAATAAAATAAAAATAATTAGTAGCTATAACAGAGGATTAAAGTAACAAGGAATTAGCTAGTAAGAAGAAAAGAGAATGCTAAGGAATATAGAAATAGCCAGTATAAGGAATAGCCACTTCCCCTAAAGCTGAGATAGAACACTCAAGGGCTAAAATCCATAACTTGTTGAAGAGGGTACAACAAAATTTTGGTAAACTGAATCTAGCAACATATACAAAAGGTAACAATTGAGTAATAAGGGTTTTCCCCAGGAATGCAAGGTTGGTTAAATATCCAAAAATAAAAGAATGCAATATATAATATTAATAAAATGAATAAGAAAAATCATATAACAGTCTCAGGAAATACAGGAAAAGAAACAATTGATAAAATTCAACACCGATTCATGATAAAAATTCTTAACCAACTAAGAATAAAAGGGCGTCTACAAAAACTCTATAGTTAACATATTTAATTATGAAAGGTTAAATTATCTCTACCTAAAATCAGAAAAAAATAAGTGAACTTCTCTTCTTGAATTTCTATTCAACATTGTATTGGAGGTCCTAACTAGTGTCACAAAAGGGAAGGGAAGGGAAGGGAAGGGGAGGGGAGGGGAGGGGAGGGGAGGGGAGGGGAGGGAAGGAAAGGGGAGGGGAGCAAAGGGGAGGGGAGGAAAGGGGAGGAGAGGAAAGGGGAGAAGAGGGGAGGGGAGGAGAGGAGAGGGGAGGAGAGGAGAGGGGAGGAGAGAGGAGGAGAGGGGAGGAGAGGAGAGGGGAGGAGAAGAGAGGGGAGGAAAGGAAAGGGGAGGGGAGGAAAGGGGAGGGGAGGAGAGGAAAGCGGAGGAGAGGAGAGGAGGGGAGGGGAGGGGAGGGGAAGGGGAAGGGGAAGGGGAAGGGGAAGGGGAAGGGGAAATCCCAAGGAATCTGCCAAAGACCCCTACAACTAATAAGTTAATTCACCAAATATGCAGGATATAAGACCTAAACAAATAAGAGTTATATACCATGTTTAGACATCAAACACTTAATAGTGTTAAGATGTCAATTTTCTCCAAATCTATAGATTCAAAGAAATCCCAATTAAAATCTCAGTACGTTTTTATAGAAATCAAAAAATTCTAAAATTAATGTGGAAAGGGCAAAGTATCTACAATAGCCAAAACAACTTTTATGAAGAACAAAATCAGACGAACACCTGATTTCAATACATATAAAATCACAGTTACTAATGCAATGTAATATTTGCATAAGTATAGACATATTAGGGCAATAGAACAGAATATAAAAGCTACCAACTCAGAAAATGATCATAATTTCAACAAAAGTGCCAAAATAATGTGATGGGATAAAAGATAGTCTTTTCAATAAGGCTGGAATAAAGATTCCATATGGAAAAAAATGAACTTCAACCCTTTCCATACACACACACACACACACACACACACACACAAATCATTCAAAATGGATCAGAGACCTAAACATAAAAGCTAAAATACAAAACTTTAGAAGACAACAAATCAGAAAATCTTCATGACACTGACTTTGGCAATAATTTTTCTGATAGAAACAAAAGGTAATAAACCATTTAAAAATGAACAAATTGGACTTCAACAAACTGAACCTCCCTGTTTCGTCAAAATGATCAGGTAAGAAAATGAAAAAACAAACCAAAAATTGGAGGGAGAATTGGGAGGGAGAAAGCCAGACGGGCAGGCAGGCACACATGGCATGAGTCTGGTCATAAAGAAACATCCAACATACCCAAGCTGAAGTTCAATGTAAGGAACGAAAAGCCCACATACTTTAAGATTTGCATGGCCATAAGACATGGAACAGAGTGGAGGGAGGGGGAATGAGGAAGTGTTGCAGATTTAAGAAGTCTAAAATATGACAACTAAATGCAAACGTGTTCCTGGATAGAATCCTGGGCTGACAAAGAAAAGGAGACACTATTGGGACAGTTGGCAACATCTAAGTGGGGCCATCAATTCACGGTTTGATGGTAGTGTGCACTGACAGTCCTGACCGGGACGGTGCATGGTAGTTATATAGGAGAGTGTCCTCACTTTGGGAAGGTGCACACCGGAGTATTTAACAGTCATGGGCACCATGTCTGAAAAAAATCAACATGTATAGGGAAAGAAAAGTTGAAGGAACAACACATGTGGTAAATGTAAACAACTGGATGAAGGGGACTCATCCTTTACATGGCCTTTGCACCCTTTCATTATGTTTGAAATTATTTCAAAATTGTTTAAAATGTAACAATAAATATATCAACTGATAAGAGATATACCATTTTTATGAATAGAAGACTCAATATTATACCTAAGCCAAGCTAATGACCTATATGAAGTTAGTTATTAAGTAGTAGAGCTGAACATTCACTGTCAACCACTTGTTCAAAAGCCTTCAATGGCTCCTCATTACTTACATAATAAAGAAGTTATATTAAGTTAGAAAATGCCTACAAAGCACTTCACTCATCACCCAGTACATTAGTGGGAAGTAAACACCTTCTAGTATCCTGGTATTTAAAGACCTTCATAATGTGGCCACAATTTGTGTTTTCCTTCTTTTTTATGTATTTATGTATTCAATACATATTTATTGAGTATCTTTTGTGCCTCAGTCAATATATTAGTTCATGGGGGAGGGAGGCAATAAATGTAATTACCCTTTTTGGTGCCTAGGTTAAAACCATCATCCAGCCAAACCTGTCATTCACCATTCTGAAACAAGGCTTTCTTGTATCTGAATATTTGTTTATCAAAACATTCCATTCATTCATTTCCTTATTCAATAAATATTCCTTAACTATATCCCCAGCTATCAGCACTGTATCTATTCATCAAGTGATAATTCAAATGCCTCTTCCTCATAGAAACTTCTATGATGATCTCAAGAAAAATAAACTGATGACTATTTATTTGTTCCTCTCATCTGATTCAAATTATATTTAGCCTTTTTTATTGCATTTAATTTAACATGGCATTTTATAGAAAAAAAGAGATCATGTTTGGCAAACTCCAATGCCATCAGTGTATATAGGCTAGTTAAGAATCTAGGTGTGCCCGGCTGGTGTGGCTCAGGGGTGAGCATCAACCCATGCATCAGGAGGTTGCTGGTTCGATTTCCTGCCAGGGCGATGCAGGGGTTGTGGGCTCAATCCCCAGTGGAGAGGCATGCAGGAAGGGGCCAGTTAATGTTCTCTCTCATCGATGTTTCTATCTCTCTCTCCCTCTCCCTTCCTCTCTAAAATCAATAAAGAAAAAAAATAAAAAGAATCTAGGTGTAATGGAAGTGATGAGGGCCTTGGCCAAGTAGGGAATGCATGCCCCTCTGAAGGCATTCAAATTCAGATTCTTCAAACTGTGTGGGCAAAGATAAACACCTTTGAGTTGAGCCTCTCTTATATAGATTGTTTGAGCCCCACTCCAGCTTCTCATTCACACTTGAGGAAACAAGATACAAGGCAGAAAATGGCTCGGCCAGTGTGTCTCAAAATTGTGGGCAGGAGCAGAAACAACCTGGTAGTCACAGATACTATTTTCAGCTTTATTTAATCCCCCAAGTAATTCAACCCTGAGCTTCTCAGGGTTGGTGACCAAACAACAGTAAGGGCTCAACGTTACTCTCTCCAGGTGGGTATCTGGAGACCAGGCCCCTATCACCCACACTGGGAGGGGTAACTGTCAATAAGGTGTTGGAAGACAGGAGCCGGAACCCATGGTGGCAGCCCGTTTAGCCAGCTTTTATCAGTCCTACCTTGACAACGTTAGAGAGGACAGCTACCTGAAGCTGGACCACCATCCCGCTCTTGCCTCCCCCACCTAGACAACCCTGCTGCCCTCACCGGCACCCCAGCCGCTCAGGCTCACCCTGAGACAGCAGCAGGATGCAGAAGACGATCATGAAGCAGCGCATGTTATTAAAACGCTGACAGCTGGGAATAACAATACAACCCAAGCCGAAGGGCTCCTCCAGATATTCATCCTGTTCTCCTAGCATCTTGGTACTGCGGGGGGTGGCCTCAGCTTGCTTGCGTTTCTTTTTTTGGTGATTGCCGGACTTGGTCAGGCCAGCTGAAACACCTCTCACATGCCCATGCCGGGCTTTTTTCTTAGCCTTCCTGGCTTCTCTGTGCTGTGTGCTTTCGGCAGGCTGAGCCTGAAGGGCCTGGGGCTGCGGGGCCTCAGATTGCGGAGCCTGGGGCTGCGGGGCCTGGGACTCCACCTCCACTCTGGTGTCCTTCATGGCCGGAGGGCGTCCTGGGGGCTGTGCGGCCTGCTCGACCTGCTCCACCTGCTCCACCTGCTCCACCTGCTCCACCTGCTCCATCTGCTCCACCTGACCAGCCCGAAGGCGTGCACTGCAGGGAACTGGCGCCTGCAGCCCAGTCTCCAGAGGGGCCTTTCCTTGGTTCTTTCGTTCCTTCAAGGTTTGGAGGCAAACGGCCTTTCTGTCGGGAGGCTGACAGTTGCCCCGAGAGAACTTCCAGGGCGATTTCCTCTTTGCTTCCACGTGGGAGAGGGGGAGGGGAAAGGCTCGTACTACTGGACTCTGCTAACTGCTAACACACAGGAAGCACGCCGTTACGCTAACGAAAGTCTTCACGTTAGGAAGCAAGAAAAGATATATGCAATGGTGTGCCCGTGTCCCCCCAAACCCCCCTAGACTTACTTGAATGTAGTGTTTTTTGAACTGAATAATCTCACTAGAAACAATCTAAAAATTGTGGGAAAGGGAGGAGAAATCAGAAGACATGGAAGAGACACTTCTACCACATTTAGAGAAACCAACGAAGGTCTTAAACAGTGTTCCAGTGAATGCTCCCAAGTAAAGTGTTTTACACATAGAAATTATTGTCCTAGAAACTCTATTTCCAGCCAAGAACAGAGAGGATTATTATTTTTCTCCCTAAATAAAGGGATGGGACCTAGAATGTAATTTACTTTCCAGGTGCAAAAATCTTAACTGAAAATAAAAAATGTAGAAAAATATTTACAGCATAAGAAATGTGTGTGTGTTGTTTATATGAAAATGTAACTTCCTATTGGTTTTTTTTTTTTTTTCCTTAGGCAAAGTATAAGTTATTCAGGCCATGTTGTGGGAAGGGTAACTTTCCAGGACAATTGAAACTTCTTCCCTCCCATGGATTAGCCATTGTGTTACACACACACACACACACACACACACACACAGTACTGGGGCTGGTAGAGCAGAGGGAAAAAAATCACGGAGAAGAGCTTGGGAGAAGGATCCCACATACTTCACCATTGACCTGAGGCCTGAGCCTGCCTCAACAGAGCTCCTATGCCCATCAGTGAGTGGAAATGTCATTTCGCCTACACTAAGAGACCTAGTTTGTCAAATATATGGTCACTACATAAGAAGGAACAATGCCTTAGTTTTCCCATGTTCCATTCCTACTTAACTAGGAGGCTCCCCACCCCCATTGCTTCAATGACATTAATCAGCATAAAGGAAACAGAATTTCTAGGAGGTAGGAAAGTGGAAGGACTCTTATTCTCATGCTTTGGTGACAGACTGGCCACAGCCTGAGAGTAGAGGGGAAAAGACAGCTCTGTTCAAAATAAATGATACTAGGGTTTTTGCTTCTACTCAGAATATAGAGCCAAGTAGAGTGTTACCCCCACTCTGACAACAATAATCAAAAAAGAAAAGGCCTGGTTGGTGTTGCTCAGTGGTTTAGCATCGACCCATGCACCAAGAGGTCACCGGTTCTATTCCGGTGAGGGCATATGCCCAGGTTGTGGGCCCAATCCCCAGTCGGGGGCATGCAGGAGGTGGCCAATCGATGTTCTCTCTCATGGATCTTTCTCTCTCTCTCCCTCTCCCTTCCTCTCTCTCGAAAAATCAATAAAGAAAAAAAATTTTTTTTTAAAGAAAAGAAAAGAGGAATATAAAATACTATCATCTTTTCTGCCCATTGGAGAGCTATATTTCCAAAGCAACAAGCTAAATGGATTCCAAAGGCTAATAAATCCCTCAGAAAGAGGACAGGACATGCGAACTGTTGCACCTTTGGCATAGCATAGGAGGAGGCAACAACCATAAAAGAAGATAGGAAGAAAACTCCTGAAATTGCAATGAATTCTTAAAGGCCCAGTGAGAGCTAACATATGGTTTAGAAACTCTAGGAACCTCAGAAACAAGGGGAATCCTTGCCTTTGACAGGGCAAGAGCAGCTTCCTTAATAAAGAATGTATTTGGTGCCCTGGCCAATGTGCCTCAATTGGTTGAGTGCCATGCCATGTACTGAAAGATTGCCAGTTTGATTCCAGGTCAGCGCATACACCCAGGTTATGGGTTTAATCCTCCATTGGGGTGCACACAGGAGGCAACAAATGTTTCTCTCTTACATCAATGTTTCTCTCTCTCTTCCTCTCCTTTCCTCTCTCTCTAAAAAATCAATAAAAACATACATATATATATATATATTTTTTAATTTTTATTTATTTTAAGAATGTATTTGGTGGTGATAGGCTGCCACTGAAGGGTAGCAGGAAGGTTTGCTCACTCACCCTCATATCTCCAATGCTGTGTTCCTGACACTTTTAGCATGCAGAACAAAAGCAGTTCTGCTTCTGGTATTGGGGCAGGAGATCTCCTGCCCCCTAATCGTTGGCAAAGATTAGCTGTTACAGGGAGAGGGACAGAGCAAAAGTCATTTGCCATTGAGAGAGGAGCAGGAAACCACACTGTCTTGTGGTCCATTCAAAGCTTAGCTACCACCAGAGGTAAGGGTAGAAATAAAAACCATCTGCCTAAGAGGGGAAGCAGGAATGTCTTTCCTTCCCAAGAACTACCACCAAAACTCAAAATCCAACCCTTGAAGCTCAGAAACTCAGGGCCTAAGAATGAGGCTTGACCAAAAGAACCTGTCCCCTACTTCCATTATGAGCTTTTCATGATTAAAAAGCAATACACTCCACCTATTAAGTGGATCAAGACAGCAGAAAGAAACCCAACTGTGGTACAGACATACTGCACCTGCTGCAAGCTGAGGGTAGAATAGTGACCATGACAGAAAAAAATAAAAGGAAAAACCATCAGGCATTCAAGTTTTCACACAAAACGCAAGGTAGCTGCAGGACCGATTAGAAGAATATAAGCCTTTGGTGCACTGAATATAAATATAACAAAAACAAACCCAAATCTAACTCTATTTCTGTTGACATTGACAAACCTACACTAATAGCCAGATAAAAGTATTTACACTTCTAGGTGTAAATACTTCAGTCTCCAATATTCCTTTATATACAATGTGTGAAATTTAGTAATAAATGATATAAGATACGTAATTTAGGTGCTAGAGGGAGAACATGAAGTAGAATTATTTGAAGATATAATGGTCACAAATTTCATAAGACCAATGAAATATGTGGAACTACATATTCAAAAATCTCAGAAAAATTTAAGCACTGTCAATACAATATAAATATAAAATATAAAAACATACCTAAATATAACATAGTCATGCTACTAAAAATCAAAACTAAATAGAATAATTCGAAGGAAGTCAGAGAAAAGACAAATATAACATGGAGAGAAACAAGTTTTATATATATATATATGGTATCTGGTAAGATAGATGTTTAAAATGTGAAAAAAAAAAATCTCCAACCAAGAATTCTGTGTCTAGCACAGTATCTTTCAAAAATGGCTCAAGCTCTGGCCCGTGTTGCTTAATTGTTAAGGTGTTGGCCTGCATACTGAAGGGTGGTGGGTGCGATTCCTGGTCAAGAGCACATAATTGAGTTGCAGGTTTGATCCCCAGTCCCAGTCAGGGTGCGTATAGGAGGCAACCAATTGATGTGTCTCTCTCACACTGATGTTTCTTTCTCTCTCTCTCTCTCTCTCTCTCTCTTTCTCTCTCTCTCTTCATCCCTCCCTTCCACTGTATCTTAAAAAAAAAATCAATGGAAAAAATATCCTCAGTGAAGATTAACAACAATAAAAATAGGTCAAGAACTATGAAAAATCTTCAACAAAATACTAGCAAAACAAATCCAACAACATATAAAAAGAATTATATTTTATGAGTAAGTGAGATTTATTCCAGGAATGCAAGGTTGGTTTAACATGTGATGATCAATTTTTGTAATACACCATATTAATGAAAGACAAAGTCCACACAATCATTTTAATTGATGCAGAAAAAGCATTTGAAATATTTATTACCTTTGTATGATAAAAATGAAATTCAAGAAATTAAGACTAAATGGGAATGTTCTCAAATTGGTAAATGGAAAACTGAAAAGTGAAAAACTTCCACATCATATTTAAAATGGTGAAAGACTGCCCTGGCTGGTTTGGCTCAGCAGTTAGAGTGTCAGCCTGCAGACCAGAGAGTCCTGGGTTTGGTTTTCACTAGGGGCATGTACCTCAATTGCAGTTTGTCCCCACCCCAGTTGTGGTCGTGTGGGTGGCAACCAGTCGATGTGTCTCTCTTACATCAATGTTTCTCTCTCTCTCTTCCTCCTTGTCTCCCACCCTATCAAAAGTAAATAAATAAATAAAATAAAGTAAAATGGTGAAAGACTGAGTGCTTCCCTTCCTTAGTTCAAGAACAAACCAAAGATGTCTAATTCTGTCTCTTTTATTCAATATTGTAATGACTGTTTGCTATAGACTAAATGTCTGTGTCCTTCCCACAAATTCATATATTGAGCTCCTAAACCCCAATAGGATGGTACTTGAAGGTTGGACATTTGGGAGGTGATTAGGTCATGAGGGCAGAGCCCTCATGAAAGGGATTAGTAACCTTATAAAAGAGATCCCAGAGAATTCCCTCTAGGGAGGTAAAAGAATCATCTTAAAAGTTCTCATCACAAGAGAAAAAAATTTAACTTATTGTAATCATTTTGCTATATATACATATATCAAATCATTATGTTGTATACATAAGTCTAATACAATGTTGCCCTTGCCGGTGTGGCTCAGTGGTTGCAGCATCATCCTGCGGACCAGAGAGGCCCGGGTTTGGTTCCCGCTAAGGGCACGTACCTCAGTTATAGTTTGTCCCCAGCTCAATTGGGGTTGTGTGGGTGGCAACCACTCATGTGTCTCTCTCACATTGATGTTTCTCTCTCTTCCTCCCACTCTATCTCAAGATAAATGCAAAAATGTCCTCAGGTGAGGATAAAAAAATAAAAATAAAATAAATGAATACAATGTTTTATGTCAATTATATCCCTATAAAACTTCAAGAGGTGGGATAAAAGAAATAATACAAAGTCTGCACAAACTCTTCTAGAAAATAGAAAAGCAAAAAACAGTATAGTAACTACAGAAAAAGAGAGAGAGAGAGAGAA